CTTAAGTAGATACTTTTCCAATTATCCCAGCTTGGTACAACTTCATACAAACCCATAAATACTGTGAATAATAAGGAAAACAAGCACTGGCTCACCTATTGAATGATTGTTAGCGACAGCTAGCAAAACTCATCATTAAAAATTAATCCCCCCCCACTCCCCCTCAATTGAAAGCCCTTTTGTTATTTAGGAAATGTTGTTGGCCAATGGGCCACACAATGCCTCTTACAGCTGCACAGCCTAGTTCCTCCTGTTGGGTTAAAGGCAACTGCAGAGATTAGCAGGGGGATTGAGTGCACAGCCCTCTCTCCCTGGGGTGCTCTCTGTCAAAGATGATGGTGCCCAAGTGCTCCTCAGACCCCTCCCTCCAAAGAAACTCCTCCAGAACAACCAATCAGAGAGAATTCTTCCCACAACTCGACCCCCTGTCTTGCTTCTGGGGATAAGCCTCAGGCACCCAAAGGCTTCCCAGCTCTCAGTTAACATCTCCCTGAAGAACTGGGGAGAGTTTGCCCCTTGACATGCTGATGTGGGAATCCCAGGGTCCACCTAGGATAAAGCACCACCAGGCTTGATAAGGGTAGAGGAATCATAAAGGCATAATGAACTTAAGTGAATTTCACTGACCTGTACTGAGAATGATCCAGGAGCAAATGTTCTGTTCCGTGTCTGCTTACTACCTACCATTTTTAAAAATCAAAAAGAAACACATCGCACACCACCAGCACCGTGAACACACACACACACACCAGCAAAGAGGCTGAAAAGGTTTACATTCATCTGCATTATCTCCAGCAGAGCACTCAGGCAAACAGAACACAGTTTGCATGGGATGGTCCCCGTCCACACAGCAACCCCGGTATAACTGTTACTAACTCCCGGCTTTCCTCACAAAGGTGCCTCTTTGTGGAGCTGATAAGTGAGAAGGTCACGCTAATGATAAGCTGCTTGGGGTCAGCATGAGGTGAGAGCACACTCTGCCCCTCTCACTCCCCCCACCCCCACCCCCGCCCCCCACACACACACTCTGCTGAGGACCCGGTCAGTGACAGCACCTGAGCTCCTAAGGAAGACAGATCCATTCAGTTGGGTACTGAGTGAAGGGCGGGTGCCCAGTTTGGGCCACAACCGAATGGCTCATGACAAACAATTGTGAGGCAGCCGCCAAAGGCTGTGCTTCAACCAGTCCCACAAGCCCTCTGTCCGGCTTGTATTTGTTGAAAAAGTATTTGTGGACCAGAAGCCAAAGTGTGCACTCCCGGAGTGTGGAGTGTGGAGACCCAAAGCCCACCTGTAGGCAACTGGACATCCCCTTACAGAAGGGTCTCCGGGAGGAGACGAGCCAGTCAGGGTGTGATGTAACAACGATGAAACATACAACTTTCCTCTAGTTCCTAAATCCTTCCTCCAACCCCACCCACTATCATGATCCCAATTCGACCTTACAAATATGGCTAGACCAGAGGATGTACACTGGTACAGATAGGAACTGGAAACACAAGGAATCCAGGGCGGATGATCCCTCCAGGACCAGTGCTGAAAGTGGCTATACTGGGAGGGGATGGGGGGGTTGGAAAGGGAGATATGATTACAAGGATCTACATATAACCTCCTCCCTGGGGGGCAGACAACAGAAAAGTGGGTGAAGGGAGACGTCAGACAATGTAAGATATGACAAAATAATAATTTATAAATTATCAAGGGTTCATGAGGGAGGGGATGTGGGGAGGGAGGGGGGAATTGAGGAGCTGATGTCAAGGGCTTAAGTGCAGAGCAAATGTTTTGAGAATGATGAGGGCAACAAATACACAAATGTGCTTTACACAATTGATATATGTATGAATTGTGATGAGTTGTACGAGCGCCCAATAAAATGATTTTTTTAAAAGAACAAGAAAATGATGATGGCAACAAATGTACAAATGTGCTAGAGACAATGGATGGATGGATGGATGGATGGATGGATGGATGGATGGATGGATGGATGGATGATGATGAGTTGTATGAGCCCCCAATAAAATCTTTTTTTTTTAAGTGTACACTCCTGGGAACTCCCATGGGCACTGAAGCAAGGGGGTCGGGGAGGGTGAGGAGAGAAACCTCACTGCTATTGAGTCAATTCTCACTCAGAGTGACCCTATAGGCAGGATAGCCTCACCTTTCTCCCATGGAGAGGTTGGTGGTTTTGAACTGGGGACCCTGTAGCTAAGCAGCTTAACACATAACCACACTAAACTACCAGAGACATGCCAAAGGTGATGCTATTTGCCCTGATCTAATGCCTGATTCCCATTCTCTGCAGCCCTGGGGCAGTCACAGGGTCAGCTGTGTCTGTACACAGCACACCCTTTTCCAGGGTACAGGTCCCAAGCAAAACTCAAAGCCTCCTTTTTCTCTTAGGAAATTTCTCCCCACCAGGGATGCACCTCTACCATCAATTCTGCTGAGCCTCAGGAAATCAAGAAGGCTGAGCTGTGTCTAGGGCCTCTGCCGTTAAGAGAACCAACAGGCAAACAAAAGGAAGGGTCCAGAAGGCCCGCTTGAGCTGAAGCTGTAGCCTGTGGCGGAGGAGGGGGGTAAAGGGTGGCTGATTCTAGCAACAAGGAAGGAGAGGGGGTGGCACCGGCTGGGCTGGCGACAGGAGTCAATATCAGTGGAGGGAAGCAGCCTCCAGCACATGCCCTAGAGCCATCAATATCTCTTCCAGGGACAGGTTATCGGGGGAATTTATGCTCTCTAATAATCACCTTGCAGAGAGTTCCACTTATCTTACCAGAAGAATCTGCCAGTTGCCAGACACACAGGGTTCTGGTTAATTCCATGAACACTGTCTTTCACCCAACTCCCTCCCCCAGCCCCGCTATCTTTCCCTCTTAACTTCTAGCCTTTCCATGACTCAGATTTAAACACCCCCACCTCCACCCGTTGCCGCGCACGGGAGGCAAGGGGGGCGGGAGATGCAGGATGCAGAATCCCAACAACTTCTGCCAATTGGAGGTTCAATTAAAAAGTCAAACAAAAACTGAACCTGTGGCCATGAAGTCATTTCCGGCCCATAGCAGCAACCTGGCTTCCAAAATACCTCTGGGTGAGTTTGAACCGCCAACGTTTGGGCTAGTGGTAGAATAGTTAACCATTGGAGCCATAAATGGTTCCATAAACATAATTTTAATAAAACAGCATGTGCTACCCAGTCTCCTCCAAGTCATAGCGACCTGCGACAGGAGCTGAGAAAGGCGGGGAGGGGTGGCCTCCAATTGGTAGAGGGGAGGGTGACACGTCATCCCATGCGGAGGCTGGGCCCGAAGTAGAGACGTGTGAAGGCAGAAGCAGTGCTTCCGGCGGGCTGATTTTGTGATTTTTGTCTCACTGGGCTAAAGCCACCGCACGTGGCCAGCATCCATTTTATGTTCCGGTCTCCTCATCCTTCTTCAAGGCCTTCCCAACCACGCCAGCCTTCGGAGGATGCATCCCGCGGTATCACAGCCTCCATCAGCGTCACGTGCTGCCTTGGGTGGCCAGACTCGCAGCCGGAAGTCGACTGCGTCTCCTAGCAACAGGACAAAACGCACCTGCCCCTGAGGGTTTTCCCAGCGTTGTAAACCTTTGCGGAACGGGAAAGCTCCATCTTTCTCCTGCGGAGTCACTGGTGGTTT